GAAACAGCTCTCACCTTTGTCCCTAGCTCGCCGGAGATCATCGACCAGTGCGACCAAGGCAGTTTCAGTCCCATGATGAGGCCTGAATCCCGACTGGAAGGGATCCAAATGATCCGCTTCTTCCAGGCGTGCCTGGAGTTGTTCAGCAACCACTTGCTCAATCCCCTTGCCCAAGAATGGAAGATTTGAGACTGGGCGATAGTTGGCCATATTGACAGCAGCTAAAGATGTTTTTTTAAGAAGCAGTTTGATAATCGCCTCTTTGACGGGTCTTGGAAGGCTCCCTCACAGAGAGAAGCATTCACCACCTTGCGAAGCCCATCGCCCAGCACTTCCTGGCTAGCTTTTATAAGCCATGATGGGCAAGGATCAAGGAGACAGGTGGTTGGTTTCACTCGTCCAAGCATGCCTGTCCACATCCTCGGAGGTAACAGATTGGAATTGATCCCACACAACTTGACTAAACAGGACTCTAGCACTCTCCCGCCTCGGCCCTGCTCAACACGGTAGAGTCTACCTCTTCCCGAATCTGAGCGACTTTATCTGCAAAAAACTTTGCAAAATCATTGCAGGAGATCATGAGGCCCTCCTGGGCCCCGGTGTAGCAGGTAGTTCCGCTAAATTGCGAACCACCTGAAAAAGTCTCCTGCTGCTGTTTTCTGCAGATGCAATAGAGGCGGTGAAGAAAGTCTTCTTCGCCGTCACTACCGCCACTTGGTGGGCTCGACACTGACCTGTGTCCGGTCAGCTTCAGAATGAGTTATCTGCCACCAGTGCTCTAGCCATGTCAGTGATTGTTTCATTGCCCTCAGATCCTTGGAAAACCATGGGGCTGTCCGGGCTCCATGCAATTGGAGAGGGAGCTTTGGAGCCAAACAGTCAATAGCCCTAGTTAAATCCACATTGCAGTGGGCAACCAGGGAATCAGCTGAAAGGCCATCAAGCATCCCCTACCACTCTCCGGAAACCATTTGGATCCATTAAGTGGCGGGGGTGGACCATCCAAATCGGTCCCACCTCCCTGGAGAGGGGAAGGGTCACGGAGGAGTCAAATTGCACCAGGAAGTGATCTGACCATGGCACTTCTTTCGTTTCGCTTTTACTTAGTGTCAGATCCCCAACATCCATAGAGGTAAACACCAGGTCCATATGCACGTTTGCAAATGTTATTTTGTTGGAGAACTATATTTCATGAAAATTAACCAAGGATGACAAAATTTCAGTTCACATATTGCTTTGAGAACTGGAAATTAGGTAGGCTAATATTAAAATTTCTCCTCCACCCCCTACCCTCACAGTAAGGTCTCATTTCACACCATGTGTTGTTGTCTCTTTTCTCAACTAGCTCATTTTGATGTTCCCGTTAATTTTGCCCTACCCTCCTTGCTAATATATTTGTCCATGCCTTCTTGCTGCCTACTGGTGCACATAGTATCCCACATTATCCAACTAAGTGAAATAGATATAGATATAGATATAGATAGATATATATACACACACACTTTCTTTTGCTGATGTAGATCATTGTTCCATATTTCTGGGACCCATTTCATTTTTTATGGATGGACATACAGTCCATGGGTCTGTGCTCTCTGGTTTCTGCATTAAAATGATAGGAAAATAGACAAAAATAGCATTTACATATATGTGTGTGTGTGTGTGTGTGTGTGTCCAAATACCCATTCTTTAAAGTATTTTGAAAAGTTTTTTAAAAGGCAGATAAATCCATTCGGCCATTCAGGAAGTAAACAAAAAACAAACCCTAATGGAAAACTATCCTGTGAGCTGCTCATAAGATCAGAATTCCTTGGCAGAAAACTAAACAAAGGAAAACTTCTGCCCAGGTGTGACAAACATGATTTTCTGAAATCTTCTGTAATTCCACAGGGAAAACTTCAACCTTGACTTTGTAATTATTTTCCTTTGTTATTGTAAAGTAGACTGTAATTAACTCTGACACATGTAAAACCACTTGCAATTATTAGTGCTGGAGACTGCAAAGGATGTTATCTATGTGCCATGTTAAAAAATATGTCTCGGGACCACTGCTATTTTTCTAAAAAAGAGGTGCTGGAACTCACCCTGAACACCTCCCTTGTTCTTTTATAATGACAACAGTGCCCATATGGTGAGTTCTGGCTGAAAAAAAGTCCTGTTCAGGAATAACAGTATTTATTCTTGAGGTTTATGGTGTATTGCAGAGAGACGAGTATTCAGATCAGCCATTGAAATGATGGAGTTGTCAGTAGAAACATAATAAAGCAAGTCTAGTGAAGGTTTGTCGTTACAGTCAGGATGGAGACCTTTCTGATGTTGCTGCTGGCACAACCTCCTCACATATGCAAGGCTCACATTGTGAAGTGTCATATCCATGATCCACACCCTCCGCTTCACAAGTATCACCAGTCAGGGGAGCTCATTCTTGGTGGCATAGCTTCTCACAACTTCATCGTCTCCAAAGAATTATCCTTCACTGAAGAACCCCCACCAGCATTGGTTGAAGAACTTATGTAAGGAATTTCCTTTCATTTTTTAAATCAGTCTTAGATCTGCATTTCATTATGATGACTTATGGGTTAGGGCTGTGGAAAAAGCTTCAGGTCTGAGGAAGGTTGTTCCAGGGGCAGGGAGGAAGCTCCTTGTTTTCTAGAGCAAACACACACACACACACACTGTGGACCTAATTAGATATGCTAGGGATGTTTTGTATCCTATTTCAACCAGGCACCTGTAACCAATGAAGCTTTTATCTCTGTGTCCTGCTATCTATGCAGGTGAATCTGATGGTCTTGCATACCTGGTATATTATTTAAAAGCTAATTCCCAATTATACTACCATTTCAGTTGGAAGACCATAAGTAGGAGGTGAGCACAATAGAACAGTAGGAATCAATCTGGCCCCTGTGAGCACAGGGTACTGGAAAAGATGGACCTGTGGTCTGATTCAGAACTGTTTTTCTTAACCTGCTACACTTATGGAACATCCTGTTCATGATTCCCAGCTAAAGGTTATATATCTATCATTATAAAAAGTTATTGATCACCCTATACTTCATGAATGTTTCTGATTTCATCTCACAGATGGCAAAATCTCGGGTTAAAGCCCAATTTCTGCTCCCCTCCTTCTTTAAAAATACAGCAGGTGTTACTTTTCTCATCTTTATTTATTCATTCATAATTTTGGTACCCTAATTGCCATCTTTCAAAATATCAAGGAAGAGTTGCTTTTTTTCAGATGTGACTAAGAAAGTATTATGTAGAAATTGTTCACCTGAGAGTCGCCACTATCTTCCTTCAAATCTGATTCCTGATGATAAGCAAGCAAACAAACAAAAAGCTCATTTTCTCCTTGTTTGGTGTGATTTCATTGTTTTCTACATCTCTGATTTGTTCAGAAAATCTTCATAAGGCACCCTGTACCAAAGGCATTTAATTTAGAGTAAGAATAAAACTGGAATAAATGAATATTTGTTAGATTTAAATACTAAATAGCACCTCTTATTGTGTTTAGATTATATGTTTTTATATAACACTTTAAATTTTGAAGGTGATTACCAAGAAAATGTCATTTTGAAGAAAAGTCAGGCTGTCCAATATATATTTTTTTAGTTATTAAAATGTTTATATACCACTGTGCCATAAAAATATACATCAAAGTAGGTTACAGCTATAAAACATAAAACTGTACAATAAAGGCTAGCATACAGTTCTGAAGATGAACACTGATGCTGTTTAGTTCTGTCATCTCTGCACATATAGGTATAGGCAATATCATTTCCTGAAGATTATCACTCTGGTAGCTTCACCTTTGTGTAGACAATGTTATGCCAAAGATTACATCAAGGAATGTATTGTGCTGACACCTGCCATCTTGGGAGACAGTGGAAGAGTGTGCCATGAAGAAAGAAGTTGTGTAAATACTAAAATATATAACAATATTTAAAGAAGCTTACACGTAACATAGTTGTATTTTATAGAAGCTTAACAGAATGTAATTCTTGTTCTAGTGTAGTGCCAAAGCATTACCAACACATCCTAGCCTTGGCATTCGCAGTCAAGGAGATCAATGAAAACCTCCACTTCTTACCCAATGTTACCTTGGGCTTCCACATCTATGACAGCTATTTCAATGGAAAGTGGACCTATCATGCCACAATGCTCCTGATATCTACACTAAACAGATTTTCCCCCAACTACAAATGTGACAGTCAGGATGACCTGATAGCAGTTATTGGTGGGTTGGACTCTCCAGTCTCTCTTCATGTGGCTACAATCTTGGATCAATATAAAATTCCACAGGTAGTGTGTGTGTGTGTGTGAAACATGCAGTTTTGAACATCTTTCATACCTGCTTTATCCTTCCAGATTCCATTTCATTGTTTATTGACATAAATGTGTAAAATGAAGGTAATGAGGTAGACGTGATCTTTTCTGTACCTTTCATGTCCAGATCAGGAGAAACAGCCATTAGGGTTTCTTCGTTTTGTGTTTGGTTGTTCATAAATGGGAATCCATAAAAGGCTGAGCTGAGATTCATGAAAATATTCTTCTGGTACTTGTGCAGATTAAATAGAAGAACAGAAGATCTACAGCATCTAGCTAAATTTGGATGAGTGAAATTCAGTGTTTTAATTCATTCTCCTTTTTGCCATCTGTTATACACACTATTGTGCCAGGATAGGAGGGGAGCCATATATGTATGTTGAAGTTCTTATTCTAGACTGGACCACATGTAGGAAGGTGACCCATTTTCAAAAGTATGTAGATCCTGATTTTCATTGAACTGAGCAAGAAGCTCCATACTTGAGTAACTTGAATACAGGTAAGGCTAGGTGGTGAGAAATGTGTGTTGTTTAAAGTACTTATACATTATTTAGGTATTGTGTTTATTACTATCTATTTATTTATTTCCACTTATTAATCTCTTCCTATGAAACATCTCAAAGCCATCTAACAATAAAAATATTCAAAAATCAAATCATGTGTACAAGTTCAACATATAAAAAGGAAACTAAAATCATTACATGCATAAAAACAATTTAAAACCCAACATGGATAAAGATAGGGATAAACATCTCCACTTAAAAGACTGATTGAAAATCGAAAATTTCCAGTAGGTGCCAAACAGATAACAGTGATGCCACCTATCTGATATGTAATGGGAAGAAGCTAGGTCGTGAAAATACAGATATCAGGTGTCAAAAGCCAGGGTAAAATGATGTGTCTTCAGCTCTCAGTGTAAACTACATACTGAATTTGCCAGGTGCACCTCTGTGGGGAGGGAGACCCACAACTTAGGGGCTACCAAAGAGAATGTCCTTTCCCATGCCACCAGTCCCAGGTTTTTGAGATGGTAGAACAAGCAAGATGGGCCACACTGCCAATCTTAATACCCAAGTGGGACTGTAGGGAAGGAGGCAGTCTTTATAATATTTGGGGTCTAAGACATTTATGGCTTTAAATATTAGCTTGAGCACCTTAAATGGAACCAATAAATGAATGGGCAATAAGCAAACAAACTTAATTTATATTGACAATTGTGTTGTATTGTGTTTAAAACAAGTTTTTGGTTAAAGGTGTGAGACAAGGACTCTGCAGTGCAGTTGTTCCCTCAGCCAGTTCCCCCCAGCTTCCCTCTGCAAGGTGGACATAAGCTAGCCACCATTTGATCAGTATAAGGCCCCTCTTTGCAGCATGAAAATAACAACATTCACTTGCTTGCCAGGTTGTTGTAATTTCTGCTTGAATAGTGTATGTGCTGATCTTTGGACATTCATATTTCTCAATATTGTTGTTACTATTATCATCACACACCCCTCCATTCCATATCTCTCTTTAGTTAATATATGGCCCAGCTCCAGTGAGGCATGACAAAGCCTCAGGCCTTTTGTTCTACCAGCTGGTCCCTGAGGAAGCCCTTCAGTATGAAGGGATTCTCTCTTTGCTTCTGCATTTCTGGTGGACATGGATTGGGATAATTGTGATGGATAATGACAGTGGAGAAAGATTTCTGCAAAGTGTGCTTCCAGTGTTCTCCCAGAGAGGCATCTGTTTTGCCTTCATAGAGAGATTACCCATGTTATCCTTCGTCACTGAAATGGGAAGCATGATGGAAGATGGGGCAAGAATACATGATAAAATCATGGACTCTCAAACAAATGTATTGGTGGCTTCTGGAGAATCCTATACTTTGGTTTTTTTGAGATGGTTGCCATATTTGTCAAATCTAGATGTGTCTAAAAAACCAAAAGGCAAAGTATGGATAATGACAGCCCAGATGGAGCTTGTCTCATTTGTCTATCAGAGGACTTGGGAGACACAAATGCTGCATGGTGCTCTGTCCTTCACATTTCACTCCAATAATCTATCAGGATTTAAAACTTTCCTTGAGAGCAGAAGCCCTTCCAGCACAAAAGGTGATGGTTTTATCAGGCACTTCTGGGAACAGGCCTTTGACTGTATATTCCAAAATACCACTGTTGACGAGGTGCAAGGGAACATTTGCACAGGGGATGAAAAGCTGGAGAGCCTTCCTGGCACTTATTTTGAAATGAGCATGTCTGGCCACAGCTACAGTATCTATAATGCTGTATATGTCATGGCACATACTCTACAAACTGTGTCTTCATCTCGACTTAAAAAGAGGGCAATGGTGGATAGAGGAAGATGGACAGTTCAGACTCAAGATTTGTGGCAGGTAATGGGTTGATATTTTATCCAACATTGTATTTTATCCTGTGTGTTAAGAAAGACCCCAAAGAACCTTTTTCATCTTGGCATTTACATCTCCCTTCCTCTTACCATGAAATGGAAAATAGTTTTTTCTGCCTTAATCTGTGGAGACTGATGCAATTTTGTTGATCTGTCTTCCTCCACTCAAAACCCACCCATGCCATCATTGAACTGATGGTATTGAATTTAGTCTGAAAGATCCCACTAAAGAATGTTCTAAACTCTTGCCTTTTCTTTCCATTCTAGCTGCATCATTTTCTGAGAAGCATTTCGTTTAACAACAGTGCTGGGGACATGATTTCTTTTGACGAGAATGGGGTGCTTGTTGCTGGATTTGATATTATCAACTGGATTATTTTCTCCAACCAATCCTTTCAGGGGATGAAGGTTGGGACAGTGGATCCCCAGGTTTCTTCCGACCAACTATTCGCCATCAATGAAGATGCTGTGACATGGCATACCTGGTTTAACCAGGTAGAATCTAATTGTATGGAATTTAGATTGACTTCCAGGTTTGAATGAGCACTGACACTGTGTTATGATATGTAAAATGATTTTTAGTGGACAATGAATGACTGCTTGAAAAGAGAGTGTGTTAATTGAGAAGGTTAAAAAACCCCACAGAAATATATAAAATACTATATTAAATTATATTCCAAAGGTTCTGCCCTTTTGATATTATTGACTGAGGAATTTCAATCAATTCTGCCTTGCTGTGAAAAAATAACAACAGTGGATAATTTAAAAGAAAACAGGAAACATGTCAACCATTACCAATATGACGGTGTAGAAAAATGTGTGGAAACATCACTATAGTAACATTAAAAAAGGCCCCAGTATAAGGATTCCAAGCTCCTCATTCTCACTTTGTTCTTTTTGATTTATGGATTCAGCACAAAATATTTCTTGTACTGTGTCCTTCATGACTTAGGTGAGGCCTATTTCTGTGTGCAGTGAAAGCTGCAATCCTGGCTCTAGCAAGAAAGTGAAGGAGGGGAAGTCATTTTGCTGCTATGACTGCATCCCATGTCCTCAAGGGAAGATTTCAGACCAGAAAGGTAAGAAATGAATGACTCAGCAGTATTTTCCCAGGGGAGGAGTGGGCAATGATAGACTGGTCTACATGAGCCAATACTGAGAGGGAGTTTGCCACAAAATATTAGGTAGCGGCTCCCATGGGTGCCTCACTTCACCCCCAATTCTTTCATCCTTCCTTCCTCAGCAATATGTGCTGTTCAGATTTTGTGAGAGGAAGTCAATAACTTTTCATTTCAGACATGAATGATTGCGTCAAATGCATGGAGCAAAGCTATCCAAACAAAGAACAGGATTTCTGTCTTCACAAGATTGTCATCTTCTTGTCTTATGAAGAACCTTTGGGGATAGGCTTGGCCTGTTGCGCTCTTTCCTTTGCTTTGACCACCGCTCTGGTGCTAGGGACATTTATGAAGCACCACAACACTCCCATTGTCAAAGCAAATAACAGGGACCTCACTTACACTCTCCTCACCTCCCTTCTACTCTGCTTCCTTTGCGTTTTGCTATTCATTGGACAGCCTAAGAAGGTGGTGTGTCTTCGACAGATTGCTTTTGGCATCATCTTCTCAGTGGCTGTTTCTTGTGTGCTGGCAAAAACCATCACTGTGGTTCTGGCTTTCATGGCCAACAAACCAGGATCAAGGATGCAGAAGTGGGTGGGGAAGAAGTTGGCCAGCACCATTGTTTTCTCTTGCTCCTTTATTCAAGCAGCCATTTGTACTGTGTGGCTGGCTACTACTCCCCCTTTCCCAGACATTGACACAAAATCACTTAATGAAGAAATTGTACTAGAATGTAACGAAGGATCTGTACCTATGTTTTATTGTGTCTTGGGCTACATGGGCTTGCTGGCCACTATCAGTTTCACTGTAGCTTTCCTGGCCAGGAAGTTACCTGACAGTTTCAATGAAGCCAAGTTCATCACTTTCAGCATGTTGGTCTTCTGCAGTGTTTGGGTGTCATTTATTCCAGCCTATCTCAGCTCCAAGGGAAAATACATGGTTGCTGTGGAGAGTTTTTCTATTTTAGCCTCCAGTGCAGGGCTGTTGGGTTGCATATTTTCCCCAAAATGTTACATTCTTTTGTTGAGGCCTGAGCTGAACAAGAGGGAACAGCTAATAAAAAGAGGTTTTTGAAGCATTTAAGTATCTGCATGTTTCTTGCTATGGACAAATGTGGGCCACCTTATTGTTGGGGCCAGAAGGAATTTTTCCACTTAGTGAATTAGCAGCTGCCATTTGGTTTTCGCCTACCACAACTTTGTAAGGTTAGGCATTGAGTAAGCCTTTGTTTAATGGAGGGTAGGTTGTATCCTCCGCCTGCCCCACCTCTATAAGGGCAATCTGTTAACAGGATCCTGTATTAAGCACAGGCGTGGGCTACGGCCATGCCATGACCACAACAGGGTTCCCTTGTGGTGTCCCTATTTGGTGTAAGTCATAGGGCTCCCCCTATTGGTAGCATACCCTTAGCTGGACTCCCTGCAGACAGGTGAGAGTCAAGACACTGCCTGGCTTCACCCTAAGCCAAACCACTCCCATCTGTAACCAATAAAGTTGTGGCCTGTTTTAGCCTATTAACCTAAATATTCACATCTCTGTGTTATTAATCAATAGGCAATTGAGGGGTGTGGGGTCTTGGCACGCAAATGCTCACTGCCAATATCTCCAGATAAAACACTTGCCAACCACCTTCTATGGATCAGCAGCTTCTACAGCCTCAGAGACCCCAAAGATATTGAAGTAGCTGATTAATTCTTGTGCAACAAAAATACCCAACCATCAACATATATAAATCTTTGTTACTATCAAACCAGTTTGATATACAGGTATTGAGGGAGGAATGGAATAAAGAATTAGAGATCTCTGTTTCGACCACACAGTGGGAAACTGTTTTAAGTGCTATAACAAGGGCACCTCAGGACCTTAAACTGAGGCTCATACAACAAAAAAATAACATTTAGAATATACTGGACCCCATTATGTTTGTCTAAAAAAGGGCTATCTAGGGTATCTAACTGTTGAAGATGCAATAGGGATAATGCTTCTCTAAAACATATGTTTTTTCATTGTCCTATACTGAGAGATTTTTGGCAGAAGGTAACTGAAACTATCAACAGAACCGTACGGAACAACCTTACATTTACAGGGCAAAATATCCTTTTGAATTATATACCCAGCATATGAAACCTTACAAAAGGACAATATGAGTTGACTCTCCATGCTCTTACCACAGCAAAAGACTGATACTGATGAATTGGAAAAATAAAAATGCAGCTCCCTTCTACAATTGGATGGAAGACTTTTACAAACTCAAAACATGTGAACAACTTGCATATAAACACAGACTTGCCATGGACAAACTCAATTATATTTGGAATCCATTCTTACAAATTTAATAGGTTAAGGTCTGGTGAAGTACAATAACAACTTTGTAAAGTAAAAAAGAGAGAAATAAATAAAGACCAAAACTCAATTGGACCATTGAGGAAGGGCAAAAAATTAATGGAAAGCTAAGCTTTGAGCTGCACATCAGATCAAAATTGCTAGGCAGAAAATGAAGCAAAGGAAAATTCATGTCCAGGTGTGACAAACATAATTTTTTGTAAGCTTCTGCAATTCCGCAGGGGAAACTCCAACCTTGACTTTGCAATTATTTTCCTTTGTTATTATAAAGTAGACTGTAATTAATTCTGCCACATGCAAAACCACCTACAATTTTTAGTGGTGGAGACAGTGAAGTATTTTATATAAGTGCCATGTTCAAAATATGGCTCAGGACTAACAAAATTTATTCCTCAGGTTTAAGGTTTATTTCAGACTGACAAGTATTCAGTGCCTGCCTTTGAAACTATAGACAATACATTGAGGGAGGTGTCAGTGGAAACGCACACTCAGGATGGTAGCATTTGTGGTGTTGCTGCTGGCACTGCTTCCTGAAATGACATGCAAGACTCACATTGTGAAGTGTCATGTCCATGATCCACACCCTCCACTTCACAAGTATCACCAGTCAGGAGACCTCATCCTTGGTGGCCTAGCTTCTCAGATCTTCATAATCTCCAAACAATTATCCTTCACTGAAGAACCTCCACCAACATTGTTTGAAGAACTTATGTAAGGGATTTACCTACTTTTTGTGAACAGTCTAATACCTGCATCCTCATAATGGTGGCTTTGGGGTTTGACTGTTGAAGAAAGCTTCAGGGAAATAAAGGTATGAGGAAGGTGTGCCAGGACCAGGGAGGAGGTTCCCTGTTCTCTAGAGCATGAACACTATGAGCACCATGACTTTGTGGGCCTAGGTAGAAATGCTAAGGATGCCTTATTCCCACTAGGCAGTTGCTATCTATGCAGGTGAGTGTTGTAGTTTTGCACACATGGTAAATAATTTAACAGCTAATCTCCAATTTCAGTATCATCTCAGTTTGAGACCCATCGACTACAATCACCTGGTTTAGCTGCAAAGAGATTTCCTGGGATGTGGTCACGATGGCATGGTGACAGCTTCTAGGAGCCACAAATGAGAACTGAGGGCAGGGTGGGAGCCAAACGTGGGCAAACTATCCCTTGAAGCAGCATGACCTGTTCCCCACCAGAGGTCTTACCACTCCCTTATCAGCCCATGCACCCTACCTTACAGAGAAGCACAGTACCTATTGTTGTTTAGTCGTGTCCGACTCTTCGTGACCCCATGGACCAGAGCACGCCAGGCACTCCTGTCTTCCACTGCCTCCCGCAGTTTGGTCAAACTCACGTTTGTAGCTTCCAGAACACTGTCCAACCATCTCGTCCTCTGTCGTCCCCTTCTCCTTGTGCCCTCCGTCTTTCCCAGCATCAGGGTCTTTTCCAAGGAGTCTTCTCTTCTCATGAGGTGGCCAAAGTCTTGGAGCCTCAGCTTCACAATCTGTCCTTCCAGTGAACACTCAGGGCTGATTTCCTTAAGAATGGATAGGTTTGATCTTCTAGCAGTCCACGGGACCCTCAAGAGTCTCCTCCAGCACCATAATTCAAAAGCATCAATTCTTTGGCGATCAGCCTTCTTTATGGTCCAGCTTTCACTTCCAAACATCACTACTGGGAAAACCATAGCTTTTACTATACGTACCTTTGTTGGCAAGGTGATGTCTCTACTTTTTAAGATGCTGTCTAGGTTTGTCATTGCTTTTCTCCCAAGAAGCAGGCATCTTTTAATTTCGTGGCTGCTGTCACCATCTGCAGTGATCATGGAGCCCAAGAAAGTAAAATCTCTCATTGCCCCCATTTCTTCCCCTTCTATTTGCCAGGAGGTGATGGGACCATATTTTGCGCTCTCCTCTTTCACCCTCAATAAAAGGTTCTTTAATTCCTCCTCACTTTCTGCCATCAAGGTTGTGTCATCTGCATATCTGAGGTTGTTGATATTTCTTCCAGCAATCTTAATTCCGGCTTGGGATTCATCCAGGCCAGCCTTTCGCATGATGAATTCTGCATATAAGTTAAATAAGTAGGGAGACAATATACAGCCTTGCCGTACTCCTTTCCCAATTTTGAACCACTCAGTTGTTCCATATCCAGTTCTAACTGTAGCTTCTTGTCCCACATACAGATTTCTCAGGAGACAGATGAGGTGATCAGGCACTCCCATTTCTTTAAGAACTTGCCATAGTTTGCTGTGGTCGACACAGTCAAAGGCTTTTGCATAGTCAATGAAGCAGAAGTAGATGTCTTTCAGGAACTCTCTCACTTTCTCCATAATCCAGCGCATGTTTGCAATTTGGTCTCTGGTTCTTCTGCCTCTTCTAAATCCAGCTTGCACTTCTGGGAGTTCTCGGTCCACATACTGCTTGAGCCTTCTTGGAAGAATTTTAAGCATAACCTTGCGGTAGTTGGAGCATTCTTTGGCACTGCCCTTCTTTGGGATTGGGATGTAGACTGATCTTCTCCAATCCTCTGGCCAATGCTGAGTTTTCCAAACTTGCTGGCATATTGAGTGTAGCACCTTAACAGCATCATCTTTTAAAATTTTAAATAGTTCAGCTGGAATACCATCACTTCCACTGGCCTTGTTATTTGCAGTGCTTTCTAAGGCCTATTTGACTTCACTCTCCAGGATGTCTGGCTCAAGGTCAGCAACCACACTACCTGGGGTATATGAGACATCCATATCTTTCTGGTATAATTCCTCTGTGTATTCTTGTCACCTCTTCTTGATGTCTTGTGCTTCTGTTAGGTCCTTACCACTTTTGCCCTTTATTATGGTAATCTTTGTACAAAATGTTCCTTTCATATCTCCAATTTTCTTGAACAGCTCTCTGGTCCGTCCCATTCTGTTGTTTTCCTCTATTTCTTTGCATTGCTCATTTAAGAAGGCCTTCTTGTCTCTCCTTGCTATTTTTTTTGGAAATCTGCATTCAATTTCCTGTATCTTTCACTATCTCCCTCACATTTTGCTTGCCTTCTCTCCCCCACTATTTGTAAGGCCTCGTTGGACAGCCACTTTGCTTTCTTGCATTTCTTTTTCATTGGGATGGTTTTCGTTGCTGCCTCCTGTATAATGTTGCGAGCCTCCATCCATAGTTCTTCAGGCACTCTGTCCAGCAAATCTAAATCCTTAAACCTGTTCCTCACTTCCACTGTGTATTCATAAGGGATTTGATTTAGATTGTATCTTACCGGCCTAGTGGTTTTTCCTACTTTCTTCAGTTTAAGCTTGAATTTTGCTATAAGAAGCTGATGATCTGAGCCACAGTCAGCTCCAGGTCTTGTTTTTGCTGACTGTATAGAGCTTCTCCATCTTTGGCTGCAGAGAATATAATCAATCTGATTTCGATGCTGCCTATCTGGTAATGTCCATGTGTAGAGTCGTCTCTTGTGTTGTTGGAAAAGCGTGTTTGTGATGACCAGCTTGTTCTCTTGACAGAACTCTATTAGCCTTTGCCCTGCTTCTTTTTGAACTCCAAGGCCAAACTTGCCAGTTGTTCCTTTTATCTCTTGATTCCCTACTTTAGCATTCCAATCCCCTATAATGAGCAGAACATCCTTCTTTGGTGTCATTTCTATAAGGTCTTGTAAGTCTTCATAGAATTGGTCAATTTCAGTTTCTTTAGCACCAGTAGTTGGTGCATAAACTTGGATACAAAAAGTGGATGTAAGAATATCAGGTTTAAAGATAAATATGCAAATTAAATTACAGTTTTGATACCAATTACTTTTATTTTGAAGTCAAACAATTTTATTGAACTTTCTTTTGGCCAGAAATGAGTATCAGACCTAAATCCATTCTCACTTCTGGTAAAGATGTCAAGCATTTAGGTTGGATTTTAGCCAATACAGGGATGGTGCTTTAAACTTTAGAAAAGCAATAGGCAAAGTTTCAGCTTTGTGTCTATAAAATGAGCAGGGTGGTTTCATCATCATCATCAATTTTATTTCTTACCTGTACTTCATCATAAGGTCCAAAGGTGGGTTGCAATATTATTATTATTTTTTAAAAAATACAATCCATAACCACAACTTTAGAAAAAAATTTGCAAATATGGACTTGAATGTAACAATACTATCTCCTGCCCTTGTGCGCTACATTTCAAATAATGGTTTACAGCACAATCCAACAGTGAAACTGAGTAAAATAAGACTTATTCCCAGATGTGTGACTGTAGGTTTAAAAGCTTATTTGAGGCCAGACGTAGACTTTGTATCACATTGAGTAAAGCTATGTTGTTGTACCTTTAACAGAACGCCTCTGATTATTATGTGAAAATTTTCTGGGTCATGAGTAATTTGAAACTACGGTACCTTCTGCATCAAATTGGTAATTGGCAGAGTGCAAGGGGCAACCCAGTCAGATGGGCAAATATTATTACTACTACTACTGCATTAGTTAAAAATCAGTAATTATAATTTACACAATGTAGGTTATCTTTCTGATGCATATTGCAATTCTCATTCCAGTGTAGTGCCTAAGAATTACCAGCACATCCTTGCCTTGGCATTTGCAGTAAAGGAGATCAATGGCAACCCTCAGATCTTATCCAATACAACCTTGGGCTTCCACATCTTTGACAGCTATTTCATAGCAAGGGGGACTTATCATGCCACACTGCTCCTTACGTCCAGCCCAGACAGATTCGTCCCAAACTACAAATGTGACACTCAGAATGATTTGATAGCCGTCATTGGGGGACTTGACCCCCTAACCTCTCTTCATGCAGCAACAGTCTTGGATATCTACAAAATTCCACAGGTATATCAGTCTCTGTGCTGAGTACAATGGGTTTAAGGGGGTTTTCCCTTAATGTTTGTATGGCCAACCATATTTCACTTTGTGGCTTAAAGGTTAAAATATGGAAAGTGGTGTTGTGAAGAAAAACATAACCTTAAATAAAAAATCCTGAATCTGTTTATACAAAAAAAGAAAAACAAAAGAACATTCTCTCACACACAAACATGCATGAGGTTCTTTTACCTTTTCTTACCTTTATGTGTTTCGTTATCTGAGCTTATAGAGAATTCAGGATCAGCTTGAATGAAGCCAGTCACTCCCCAAGAGAAGTTTAGATGCATTAACTCAGAGCAGAGAATAAGGTGATTTAACAGAGTTCCAGCTTTGTTAATCTTCATAGAAGATAATTATTGAGAAATATATTAAATCAGCCACAAATCTTTGGGCAGATATATATGAAAGACACCAGGGACACAAAGATCATTGCCTCAGAAACTTATAATATGATGGTTGATTTTATGATGGAGGTTGGGTGAGAATTGAAAATGGCATGGGAGGCAGATCTTGGAGTGCACTTCTCAGAAGGGGAGTGGAAAGTTATGGAGCATTGACCCCATCTAAGGAACATTTTATTAATAATTAGGGAGACTATGCTAAAATTATCAAACAAGTAGCATTGCATGCCTACTAGTTTGCACCACTTAAATTTGATGTTCTCTCCTTTGTCTTTGCAGAGATGCAGGCAGGAGGGTGCCTATATGAAGGGAATGCATATATTTAAAGGATTTGAGGTGCCATAGAAAAGGATCAGCATAGATCCTGCATGACTCTCCCTGATCCAGAAAAATACTGTTAATGCCATTTGGGCAGTGATAACCATCCCAAATGGCATTAACACTCTTCTGCAAATACAAGCAGATGTTATAACAAAATCTGGAAAATGAAAAAATAATAATGACGCAGTAAAGTAGGATGTCGGGGTTGAAACACAGTGAGACTGTTTTTCTGAAACATGACATCCTCTTTCATCTCCATTATCAATACTCATATTTACACTCCTCTGGCTCCAGCTCTTAGAGTTCAATTTGAGGGCATCCATTCATAACAAAGTAGAACACAAGAAACATGTTTCATTTTTTAAAAGAATATTTTTCATTCGTTAATTGAACCATAGGAACCAAACTCCATGAGCCATGATAATTTATTTATTTATTATTTTTAAAAAAACACTTGATGGTAAAGAATATCATAAAAACAGTTAAGAGAAGAGAAAATTTAAAAAAATCAAGAAAAGAATCACCACCATACCTTAAAACATATAAAAGTTAAAATACAGCAGCAAATTAAAATTACCTCAGCTTTCTAAGTATCTGAGTGGGCTAATCTAAACAAAAAAAAAAAAAAGTTTTAACAGCAATTATAAAGAGAACAGTGAAGCCAACCATTTGATTTAAACAAGCAGGGAGTTACAAAGTGTAGACACTACCAAACTAACCAATCAAGTTCCTCTTATAAATGCAGAAAATATATTATGAAGCACCAGTGGGAGTGCCAAGTATGCCAATCATAACGGTCAAGTAAGCACTTGTAGGGTAAGGTAGTTCTCATAGTTCTGCATTTTGGATGACTGTGCTGGTGTACATTTAAAAACATTGAAGAAAAACTGACTGAATATCTCCATTAAAGCATTCCTATTTGTTCTGTTCCTTTTCTGCACCCTCCTCCCTTTAGCTCACATATGGTCCTGCTCCCATCATGCATGATAAAACTCCAGGCCTCTCCTTCTACCAAATGGTCCCCCAGGAAGCCCTTCAGTATGAGGGGATTCTCTCCTTACTTCTGCATTTCAGGTGGACATGGATTGGGCTCCTTACGATGGAACTTGAGAATGGAGAACAATTTGTGCAGAGAGTGGTTCCAATGTTTTCCTCCAGTGGTATCTGTTTTGCCTTCATAGAAAGAATCCCCAAAGTATCTTTCATCACCGAAGCTAAAGACTTGTTACAAGAGGGTGCAAAAATACATGATAAAGTAATGGGTAGCAATGCCAATGTTATAGTCGTCTATGGAGAATCTTACTCAATGATATTTCTTAGATGGTTTCCATATTTATCAGAAGAAGAAGAGATGGGAGAGGATGCAAGAGGTAAAGTGTGGATAATGACAGCCCAGATGGAGCTGACTTCTGCAGTTTATCAAAGGACTTGGGATACACAAATAATCCATGGGGCTCTGTCTTTCACAATTCACTCTAATGCTCTACCAGAATTTCACAAATTTCTTGAACACATAAGTCCCTCCACCACAAATGGTGATTATTTCATCAAGGACTTCTGGCAACAAGCCTTTGCTTGTGTCTTCCCTAGTACAGTCACAGATGTTATGGATCCAAATATTTGCACTGGAGAGGAGAACCTGGAAATGCTTCCTACACCTTTTTTTGAAATGAGCATGACGGGCCATAGCTACTGTATATACAATGCTGTTTATGCCATGGCCCATGCTCTCCATGTCATGTCCTCATCCAGACTCAATTCAAGATTACTGGAAGACAATATGAAGCTGACATCTCAGGTTTATCAGCTGTGGCAGGTAATGTGGCCAGATTTCCCTTGAGACTGTGTGCCATAAAGGTAAAGGTAAAGGGACCCCTGACCATTAGGTCCAGTCGTGACCGACTCTGGGGTTGCGGCGCTCATTTCGCTGTTTGCCATAAATTGGCGCAGTAAATTATCTCTCTGATGGTTCTGGTCCTTGTGAAATGCAGTTAGCATTGCCTTCATCTGTAAAACTGACGTGAACCTCTCTTTTCTCTCTTTTCAAAATCTAGTTTCATCATTTCCTCAGAGGAGTGTCATTTAATAATAGTGCGGGAGACAAATTTTCCTTCAACCAGAAGGGGGAGTTGGAAGCTGGGCTTGATATTATTAATTGGATTGCTTCGCAAAACCAATCCTTTCATAAAGTTGAAGTTGGGAGAATGGATCCCCAGACATCTTCGGGGAAAATGTTCACCATCCATGAGGATGCTATAACATGGCACAAGTGGTTTAATCAGGTACAATCAAATTGTCGGTATTTTGAGTCCTGATTGTAAACACAATTTCACTGGTCAATGATGTTCTTGGATGTTACACTTCATGAAATTCCTCTTCAGGAGGTCTTTGATTTTATGTATTGATAAGTTGTTGGGTGAACAAAGAATGTGCCTTTTTTTGCATTGAAGATGTGTAAAATATTCATTATTGATTGAAATGTATAGTTAGTTTGCACTTATTTGGTATCCAAGGAAGTGACATTTGCTTCCCAGCATGGCTGTGACATGATCCCAGGGCCATGTTTTCCTTCCTGCGCAGCTGGTGGTTAGATGCACATCCCCTCCCCCCGGCTGTACTGGCAGAGAGTGGGTTGCTTGATACCACATACATATCAAATACTTTGGCCGAAACCTACCTATTTCTCTAATCAATTTTTTTTTTTTTTGCCTAGTTCAACCTAATACCCACGCCTTGTATCTTATCGCTTATTTACCCCTCACCTGGCCTCAGGTATCATGCACATGGGAATGCAAACACTAATTTCAGTGAGTACGCTCAGAATACTGCACCATTGAATATTACCCAAAATATCAAATTCCCTTCATAGGACCAAGCTATATATCGCTTTTAAGCATTTTCTTTATGCAATGATTTCTGTCAGCTGCTTGAAGTCTGCGGAGTGAGAGTCAGGGAGGTGAACAATCTAGCTAGCATGACCAGACAGGAGTCCTATTCCCTCTCAACAAGTGGAAAACTTTATTTCCTGCTTGCCTGTAACAAAACAGCCCTTAATACTTTGTAATTCACTGATCCAGTAACCTCACTATTCTGGGGACTTTGACTGATGAGGGGAGGCTACAGTGTCAGGTAATTGGCAAAGGAGGAATGGTGGAATCCATCTCCCCATCCTGGCTCTTCTAGGGAGGAAGAAGAGGTAAATGGCATATACTGTATTTACAACAGGCATTTGAGGGAGGTCACAGCTCAGAGACAGGTGAGTTGGAAAGTTGGGAAATCATGGGAGAGCTGGGCCAACACTTGGCTGACACCTTGTCATTAGAAATCATATCAGACCCTCCATCTCCCAGAACCTGGTGAGCCTTAAAAGTATGAGAGCAAGGAGCTCAAAGACAGAGGGCACTTAGGAGCACATGTAGAGGAGGTGATTTTGTTGATGGATGGGGAAGTTGGAAAGAGAAAATGTGAGTGTGGAGATTCACTTGGAACAATGCCATTATCCAAGAGTCAGGGTTCTATAGCCTCTCTCTGTAAAGTCTGAAATAAAAAAGGACTGTAAGAAACCTTTCCTTGTCTTTATACTTTCCCGGGTAACCATTCAGGAGCCACTGACAGAATCCTGACACCATACCATCACAAACGCATGTTTTTAAAAAAATATTTATTCCTATAATTGATTGAATATTGAATATTGGCAATGAGACAGGAGTTAAATAATTCAAATGGAACAAAATGGACATGACCATGCTCCTTGACTGTGGCATTGCCACTATCATAAGGCAAAATTAGATCATTGTTTCAGCTGCTGGATACAGGGGAGCCATAAATGGTTATTTCCTGCAATGCAGCTGATATAAATGACCAGCCTTCTGTTTATGAAAACAGCCTTCAGCATTAAATGCCCACCCTCTCCTCATCCTCCTCACTGTCTCACTTTGAGAAAGGGCACATGGTTCCTTCCTCACAATGAGTGCATTCTGGACACGGTCAGCCTGCATCACCACTTTCATGTGGTGACTAAAGGTTCTGTTTGAAATAAGATAATTTAAAATTAGCCATCCCCATGATGACTCCAAGATCTATATTCTCTTTTTTCCTTCATGGATTAGGCAAGGCCTATTTCTCAGTGCAGTGAGCAGTGCAGTCCTGCTTCAAGCAAGAAAGCAAAAGAAGGGGAGCCATTTTGTTGCTATGATTGCATCCCCTGTCCAGAAGGGAAGATTTCAGACCAGAAGGGTAAGCAATAATGTGTTTAGAAATAGGAGGGAGATTACGTGATATTTAATCACAACAGGGCTATAGATTCAAATTGTATAATCCGCTGCTCTTGAGATTAAAGGCATGTTTGTGAGATTAAGCCACGTATTTTCCTTTTCAGATATGAGTGATTGTTCCACATGTTCAGAACAAACATATCCAAATAAAAACCATGATTTATGTATTCCCAAGGAAATAAGCTTCTTGTCTTTTGAAGAACCTGTGGGGCTAAGTTTAGCCCTTTCTGCTCTTTCCTGTTCTTTGGTCACCATTCTAGTTCTCTTCACATTTATGAAGAACCACAACACTCCCATTGTCAAAGCTAACAACCAGCAGCTCACCTACATGCTTCTCCTCTCCCTCCTGCTCTGCTTCCTTTCTGCATTGCTATTCATTGGACAGCCTCAGAAGGTGACGTGTCTCCTCCGACAAACTGCTTTTGGCATCGTCTTTTCAGTGGCTGTTTCTTGTGTGCTGGCAAAAACCCTCACTGTGGTTCTGGCTTTCATGGCCACCAAGCCAGGATCCAGAATGAGGAAATGGGTGGGAAAGAGGCTGGCCAATTCCATTGTACTTTCTTGCTCCCTTATACAAGGAAGCATTTGCATTGTGTGGCTGGCAATCTTTCCTCCGTTGCCAGAGGCTGATGTACATTCAGTGGCTGAACAAATTATACTTGGATGTAATGAGGGGTTTGTGACAATGTTTTACTGTGTCCTTGGCTATATTGGCTTCCTGGCCATTGCCAGCTTCAATTTGGCCTTCCTTGCCAGGAAGTTACCCGACACGTTCAATGAAGCCAAGTTTATCACTTTTAGCATGTTAGTGTTTTGCAGTGTGTGGTTATCCTTTGTTCCAACCTACTTGAGCACCAAGGGGAAATACATGGTAGCTGTGGAGATCTTTTCTATCTTAGCCTCCAGTGCTGGATTGTTGGTCTGCATCTTTTCTCCCAAATGCTACATTATTTTGTTGAAGCCTGAATTGAACAGAAGGGAACAGCTAATACGAAGAACCAATTGAAGAATTAAATGATTTTGTCTTCCTATCTGGTTATTAAATTACAATTATGCTAATTATAAACTGACTCTTCATTTCACAAGAGTTTAGACTTTTTATTCTGCAGGAGACTTTGTTAACATATTAGGGCTCAGATGGTTAAGAGCCAAATGATGCCATAACTCTATCATTTAGAGCAATTAAGCATTTTTGTTTTTCTCAAACTCTAAAGTCAGGGCTGCAAGTCTAAACCTTTACCTGGGGGTAAGTAATGTTCAATTCATTAGGATATTTACATGTGAGCAGAATGAATCTGGGCTATTTCATTTTAATACTGCAGCTTCTAGGGTAACCAAAACGGCCTCCCATTCCAAGGCCGCAACATGAAGGTGAATAGGAAGGCCTATGTTGTTCCTCCCCCTCTCCTTATAGCCCCAAAGCATAGTCTCAATATGCTTATATTGTCTGAGACATAGCTCCCTATGCACGCAAGGAAACCAGTGCTATCAATGGAAAGGAATCAGCTGCTCTTCTCTTTAAGGCATCCAAACACACCAAGAGAGAAGACAAAACAGACCCCTCTTCATCAGAGGAGGAAACAAGTATAGGGGAATGTTGCTTGCTAAACACAGATTTCCTTTTTTGCTTTGCTCCTTCTTTATTCTTCTGAGGAGTCATAGCAGAAGGTCAACTGCAGATGCTAGGGAACAGAATATAAACAGAGTGGCAGGGAGCCCTGTCAAGCCAACTACTCCCAAAATTGTCAAGTCCTCAAAGTATCAAAAAGAAAAGGCAGCACAAAAAGCTGAAAACATATTGCAAGCTTTAAATTGCCAACAACACCTCCCAAAATATCAGATCAAAATCAGAGATGCTAGCCTCAATTCACTAAAATGGCTACAGACCAGCATGGGCTAAACAAGCTCACCCTTCGAGGCCACCTTAACATACCTCCTTCTTAAATTACAGCTGTCTAAAGTCTTCTAATAAAGTAATGGACCTTCCCATTCACAGTAATAAAACACAATTTTCAGAGGTGCGCAGAAGTTCTGAATGTGGCTACTGTGCCCCTAAAGGATCAGGTGAATGACCTGGGGATCATTTTGGACTCACAGCTGTCTATGAAGGTGCAGGTTAATTCTACACCCAGGACCACTGTCTACCAGCTCCATCTGATACACTGGCTGAGACTCTACCTCTCTAAGCCACTGTCTCGCCAGAGAGGAATATGTTCTGGTTACTCCCACTTGGGCTATTGCAGTGTGCTGTATGTGGACTACATGTGAAGGTAACACAGAAACTAAAACTAATCCATAAGGTGGAAGCTACCGAACAACCAGAATCCCTCTAGAGGGGGTTCAGGGACATTACAAGAATGGAAATAGGTCGGAAAATACTAGCTGACCTGGATGAGGTTGCTTTTCTCTTGGGAAAGTTGCGAAAGTTGCAAGAGCAAGGTCATGTTTTGTCTACAGCCGCTATAACTTTGAAGTCAACAACAAATGTATCTACGGAGTTGGAAAAGGACTTGAGGTACAAAATCCAGGCAGCTGAACAAGAAAAGAAATTTGAGAAAATTGAGGAAGTGGAGAAAGAGATATCTGCTGAACAGGAGGAGCAGGAAGGAGGGGCTGCAATGTTGCAGAAAGCAAAGGAGAGCCGGAGGCCGGTCAAGATGGATATAAAAGAAGATAAGGACTGGATGAGGGAAATTTGGTATGAACTTAAAAATGAGGAACGGAAAGATCTCCTTTTGTGGGGATCTGAAGATCTATGGACCATAAATTTGATCAAGGTGGAAGCTGGAACCTTTGGACTATCTGGACCTAAAAAGATTAAGAAACAGGATTTGAGCTCCACCTTTAAATATGGAGGTCTGGCCGGAAGGAACATGGGCATTATAGGGATAGTGCCCCTCCGAGACTTGGTGTTAAATATAAAGGACTTCCAAAGAAACTGGCAGAGAGGGACTGAGAGAGATTTAAGGGCCTCAGACGTGAGGTTGCCAGGCTGATAGTAGATACTAATGGACAAAGATTTGGGGATCGAATCTGGGGAAGGGAGGATGGGGTTTGGAAATCCAAAGGGTGTTTGACTTTTTTTAATTCTTTTTTATTTTTGTGTTGTTATTAGTATAAAAATGGGGAATTCGTGGAAGGGGAACTGGGTCGACCTTAGAAAAAGTTTTTTAAGTATAAATGATTGATGTATATAAGCTAAAGTTGATATGTAAATTGAATTCAATATAATAATAAAGTAAGGTAAAAATTTAGGGATGAGAACTTGTTGAACAAATATTTGGACATGGAATACAAGAAGGGGAGGCAAGGGGAAGTTCTGGAAAAAAGTTCTTGAAAATCTGGATGGTAAAGGTTGAATCTTTTCTTTTTTTCTTTTTTTCTTTTTTTCTTTTTATTCTTTTTTTTTTGCTTTTTGTATTATCTGAAACTCTAATAAATATTATTTTAAAAAAAACATAAGGTGGAAGCTAGACTGGTGACTGGGAGCAGCCACCTGGACCATGTAACGTCGATCCTAAAAGATGTACATTGGTCCCCATTAGGTTTCTGACCACAATTCAATGTGCCTCTACCCCCATCGCTCAGCCCAGACATGGAACTCCAGTTCTGAAGGCCTTCTGGTGGCTCCCTCACTGTTAGAAGTGAAGTTGCAAGGAACCAGGCAAAGGGCTAAGCAGCTGGGTTTCTGAAAGCAATTGACCTGCTGATTGGAGAAGCTTATCTTTGTTAATGGTAAATGACACCACCCCACACCCCACTGTGACTTATAATTCCTCCCGCCAGCGGTTTCCTCCCATTTCCAATCTAGGAGAGGACATTTGAGATCTCCCAGAATAAGCTAATAAAGTTCTGTGTGAAACTTCAGTGTGGTCCTCCTAAGACATGTCCATGTGTTTTCCAACTCCAGACAATGGTGATCTTCATCAGATGACTTGCTCTTTTAGATGCCTGACTAATTGGGGAGGAAATATGTTCAGATGTGACAAACTAGCTCCCTTCTGCTATTCCACAGTGAAACCCTGTCATTGCAAAAATGGCAATAATTAATTCTGCTGCCTATCAAACTCCCTGTGGAATCTGAATAGGAAAGAATTTGAAACATGGTATTTAGTAAATACACCAATTAGAGTTTAGAGCTACTCCTAGAGATTAACAATATATATTATTCAGGGTTCAGGCTTCTTTACAAGCTGATTGAGCATTTATATTTGCCTTTCAAACTATAGACACTCTAATAAGGGAGCTGACAGTGGACATAGTGTAATATCCCTTGAGTGGGGATTTTTCCTTGCACTCAGGATGCTGATATTTCTGGTGATGCTTTTTGTACTGCCACCTCACACAACATGCAAGGCTCACATTGTGAAGTGTCATGTTCATGATCCACACCCTCCACTTCACAAGTATCACCAGTCAGGAGACGTCATCCTTGGTGGCATAGCTTCTCACAGCTACATCATCTCTAATGCCTTAGCCTTCTCTGAAGATCCCCCGCAGGTATTGCCCGAAGAGCTGGTGTAAGGACTTCTTCCTTTGTCCCTTTGTTTAGTGAGCCCCAAAACTCAAATCTGGCAGCTGTGCCTTACTGATTTTTCCTTCTGTATTTTCTGCTATTTTTTTAAATAAGAGAATAGAAACATTAAAACAGGTAATTTCCCAAATGCCCAGCTGTAGAAGGAGAAGCAGTTGAGAAGATTTTGAGGATACATAAATGAGATGAATTCATTGTCTGAAGGAATGAGAACAGAGACCTCATCTGCCAGTGTTCCACAATCTTAGGAAAATGGATGAGGATGTTGCATAGGTCACCAAATGTATTAAATGAATGGACTTCACATTAGGGGAAAAAATCAAATAGTTTTGCCTTTCCTTTGGTCAATTTGTTGTTGAGTATTGTTTTGTTTTGTTGCAAGGGCAATATGCAAAATGCTAAGTTTAATTATTGTGATCATAGAAAAATAATAACAATGAAATTAATTGTATACTGAATGGGTTAAAGCTTCCTGTTCCTCATAACAATAAAATAAGGAAGAGTATAATAATGATTAATTGATTTAATCGACATATAAGCCTGAATATTCTAACTGCATATCTATTAATTTTAAAAACCATTGTACAACTTATTCTGCAAATGTAACTAAATCCTAAGTCATAAATTTTATTCTTTTTTTTACCTTCATATATTCCTGATAATGGTACTGATTGATCTCATATTCACATCCTCTCCATCTTCTCCACTTGCACTAGATAATTTATTGTTTTGGTTATTGACCACTAATACTTCTATTATTAGGTGAAATGCTGATTAATGGCTCAGAATGGTTTGCTACCCAAAAAAAAGACCTTGTTATTTTCCTTTAAGAATCTCTTATGGGAAAAGACTATTGACTTTAAAAATGCATGCTCTACATAAGATTACTGTCATGAATACAACCTATTCATTATTATGTTTAAAAATGCCAGGCAATGGAGTTTAATTTTATTTTGGCCCATAGAAAAGCAAGGTTGGTGGCTTCAACATTAGAAAAGCAATACTGAAAATGATTAATGTAATTTTCCAATTTCTTTGTTAGTTGGAGTACTCAAAAAGAGCTAACCATTTATCACTATACATTAAGTAAATGTTAGAATCGCATGTTTAAAGTTAAATATGCTATTTACATAATACATTTTACGGTATTTTTTTCAAGTCAAATATTTTTGATGAACATTCCTTTGGCCAAAAATGAGTATGAGAACTGAATCCATTCTCACTTTTGGGAAAGATGTCAAGCATTATGTTGAATATTCTTCTGGCTAATACAGGGATTGTGTTTCTACTTTAGAAAAGCAAGATACAAAATTTCAGATTTTGGCCAATAAAAAAGCAGGATTGCTGGTTTCAACATTATTATCATTATTATCATCATTATTATTATTAGTAGTAGTAGTAGCAGTATTACATTGGTTAAAATGCTGTAATTCTAATTTTACACAATGTAAGATATCTTTCTGATGCAGATT